ATAGGCGGCTAAGTATATATAGAATCGCACAGGCCTTGCTAGGAGGTCCGTGCGCCTTAGTCCCGGCCACTACCAGGGACTATTCCGCGGGCCATAGCCCGTAACATTAATCCCCGCTAATTTATAAAAATATCGCTAAAACCTACTTATTTAGTTTATCCCTTAGTCGTATATAATAGATAGAGGTATACCGTGGAACTAGAAGTAGTAATCGAAGAACCGTTATACGTAGGCCTTAGCGTTTATCGTGTTTATTATTTTAAGGGTTACTGCCTTAGTAAGTCAGTTAATAATAACCTAAAGGTACTTAACGCCGGAGTCGCCCGTGGGTAGTAAGTCGGTTATAAAGTCTATAGAAAGGTGGCTATAGATACGCTTAGGGATCGGTAACGGCTTAAGTAAGCCTTATTTTAAGGTTCTCTAGATATATCCTCTTCTATATACGTTATAGTTCCGTGTAAACCGTTATATATCTGTATTTATATTAGGCTAGAAGAACCTCCGTGCTATAAGAGTAATTATACTATCCTTATTAGGGTGGCTACCGATTACCGAGTTATGGATCGCTTATACTATACGCTTATATAGCGTAGACTCCTCCGCTAACCCTAAAACCTAATGCCGGTCTTAGAAGGTTAGTTAACCTCCCGGTATAATAGAGTATTCTACGATCTACACTTTTAGATTTAAGGAGGGGTTAAAACTCCTTTTCCCCTCTATAACTGTTATACTAGCTTTCCGATATTAGTCGTTACTCGCGGCGGCCTTATCCTAAGAGCTCTATAATGTATTATCGGCTTTAAATACATGGGTAGGGGCTATCTCCGTAACAGGGGCAGCTTTTTTGACTACCCTTATAGCCCTTATATATGGGAGGGCGGAACGGGGATTAAGTATATAAATTATTCTTACTCTTACGTATCTATATAGTCTCTCGGCGCGTTTTATACTGATATAATGAGGCGTTAACGGTGTGGTTATCGCTACCTCGGCGATATTCTAATATAAAGTTAAACTAGGCTAGTTCCCCGGCTTATCGGCTCTATTACTCGGTAAGTGACCGCTTTATTATAAAGTACTTAAGGGCTTTATAGTCGGTTAATACCGCGAAGCGACTATAACTTATTAGTTTCGCCTTTTATACTAGTATATAGCTAATAATAACGAGTATCTCCTTATTATAGATAGGGTAATTATACTCCGTAGATATTAGTTGTCGCGAGTAGTATATAATAACGCAGCAATATTCTTACTTATCCTCTTAGACTAAGATACCGCCTAGCGCGAACCCGGAGCAGTTAGTCTCTACCTAGGTTTTCTTATTAGGGTCCTATTAGCGTAGGATAGGTCCTTTTTAGAAGAGCCTTTTAAGCTCTTAGAACGCGGCCTCTTTTTCTACTCTAACTTAAACTAATAGTCCTTCTTTATTAGGCTTATTAATAGCGTTACAATACCTATAAAGTCGTGGATAAATATCCGGTAATAGTTCGCGAACCCTAGGAAGCTTTATACGCCCTTTATAGATATTAGGGCTTTTTATTCCTTAATAGCCTTAAGCTTTTCGGGGTTATAAAAGACGTCTTTCCCTGCCGTGATAATGAACCCTAGGTATTTTACGGTCTTGACGCTAAACTCACACTTAGCCGGGTCTAGGTTAAGTCCGGCTTTAGCGAGCGCGTGTAAGACTAGCCTAACCTTCGCTTTATAGTCCTAGCGAGATCCGCTCGAGTAAATAAGTATATTATCCACGTATACGGTCATAAAGTTATTAAGGTAGGCTTATGGGGTCTTATTAATATATCGCTAGAACTTTATAGGTATTTTACGAAGACCGAATAGGTATACTAGCTACTTAAAAAGGCCGAACCGCGTATAAAACGCTATCTTATACTTATACCCCTTAGCTATTCTTATCTTATAGAATACGGAGACTACGTCTAGCTTTATAAACCACTTTGCGCGTGCTAGGTTACGAAGTGTCTTAGTGATTAATAAGAGGGGGTAATAATCTCGCTATTTAATCGTATTTAGAGCCTTATAGTAGTAGTAGAACCTTAAGCCGCCGCCCGGTTTACGTATAAATAGTATTAGGGCTATAGCCGCTACGCTATTTACTCGGATAAAGCTTTTATCTATTAAGTCCGTAAGGGTCTTTTATAGGATCAATAGTTCCTCTCTCGATATATTATAAAGGGACCCTATAATAAGGGAGCCTTATCCCCGCTAGAACCTTATATAAGGTTTACCTTATAGTCGGTACTAGGTTAGTACGGGGGTAGCTTATTCGCCTTATCTAGCGAAAATAACGACTTAAACTCCCGGAGTACCTTCTTCGGCACGTAGTCTTTAGGGTCCACGGGCGCCTTTTTCTATAACGCCCTTATAATATCTTTAAGGCTAACTACCTATATCGCTACTTCCTCATTAGGGTCTTTTTAATTTTAACAGAGTCAGCGGTATATACCGCTAAATATTAATCCGGTAATTACGCGTCCCTCGCGGATAACTCGGATATTTATCGATTTCTTTTCGCCGCGAAGTGGTAGATTAATTCCGGCGCCCCTATAGAATAACCTTTTATTCTTCGCGTAGTATATTATGGTATTATATTTAAGCCACGGTTTACCTAGGAATAAGTCTTAGTTAAGGCCGGGTATTATGTACGCGAAGATACGCCATATATACCCCCTAACGTCTAGATTATATATAACGATCCCTTTATAAGTGGCCGAGCTAGTAGCCTTAGAGAAGCTATTAAGTAATTATTTCTTTATATCGACTAATAGTAACCGGCGCTTTTTAGCTAAGTATATACTTATAGCTGTATAATAATTATAACCCGTAGTATTAAAAGCGTATATTAGTTTTCCTTTATTTACTTAAGCCGAAATAAGGGCTAGTTCGCTACGTATTAGTGGCTTAAAAGCCTTTTACTCCTGCTATACTACGGCCAACGCCTTTAGTACCGGATTACGTTAGGGCTACTCTTTTTCCGAGTCAGAACTAAGTTCCTTAACTCTTATATCCGACTCGCTATAGGCTCCTTATCCCTTAGTAGCCTTAGCCACGCGAGGGCCTTTATCTTTCATAGGCTATTTATGAAACCTCGCGATATAACCCTTTATCCTATAATTATAATAATTACAGGTATCGCGTAGTTTATTGGTACGTGGCTTATCCGCTTTTAACCTTAGCTAGTTAACCCCCCCTATCTTAATATCTCCGTCTATATCTTATTAATTATTAGTTTAGGGTATAGTCGTGGGTAGGTAGCGTTCTACTCGCTAGGCGCTAATAACGCTTTTAAGGCGATTAGCTATACTCTAGACCCGGATACTTTATTCCGGGTACGTATATAGGAGGCTAACCGCTATGAGCGTATCCTATAGTTTCCGGTTTAAAGCTCCTTCTAAAAATATAATCTTTACCGTGTCTGGCTATATCGACCCGCCTATATTAGCTAGCTACCTTTTAAAGTTAAGTAGGAACTAAGTAAATATTTAGTCCTCGCGCTATTATAGCGAGCGTAGTATAATTACGGCGCGAGCTTATATATTCTAATCCTTATAAGTATAATCTAGGAAGTCTACTATCTTGTAGGGGTTCCGTAGCCCTCCGGACGCTCCCGAATTAATAATATCGCGACTACCTATTATAGGCTTAGGCCTAAGCTTATATAGATTAGGAATTATATCTCCTACTAGCTATAGAATCGCGGTCCGTTAATCTTAAGCTCATCGTGTATAGCCCGTAACTACCCTACGTATTTAGCTTTTTTTCCTAAGAAGATCGGAGGGTTATTTACTCGTTTCCGCTAACTTAAGGGCAGGGTATTCGGATTAACCGGAGTCTATATAATATAAAGGGGTTCTAATAGGAGAGTTAGGGTTAGCCTATTAGTTATCGCTAATACTAGGGTTATAGATAGCGGGGGCGTAGTAATAATACTAAAAGGCGTTATTTATAGAGCGGTTATCGGTATAGGAGGTCCTTATAAGAGAGGGGCGAGGTGTTAGTTGTATTAGCTCTCTTATAAAGACTATATCTAGGCGAGTATCTAGCCGAGTACCTTTTAGATCTTTATAAGGGCTTACTAAGTTTATCGCTAACTCTCTACTTATTACTTTAGCCCTTACTATTAGGCTTATATTTACTAATTAACCTATTCTTTATAGGTTTAACGCGCTAAGTTCTATTATATTAGGTAGTCCTAGAGAGGCCGTACGGTATCGGTAATTATTTAATATATCTCTCGATTTTTATTTATCTATCCCGCTTGTTATTAAGCGGTAGCTCAGAAGTCGCTACCCTTAGGCGGAGTGCTAGTATCGTGGTCTATACTTATATAACGTTAGGGTAATACTAAGTTCTAGATATATAAACGGCTAGTCACGAGTCTAAGCGAATAGGTAAGGCCGAATAATTATATTATCTAGAACTAAGGAAAGGAGAAGGAAAAGGTGAAAAGTCTATCTTACTAAGGGTAGCTATAGGTTAGCTACCCGATCTGTAAGAGGTCTATACGGTGTCCCGGCTTACTAAGGCCGGGACCCTGGCTAATAGGGTCAGCCTATAATTTTCGGTTACGTAATAGGCCGGATTACTAAAAGTATAATCCGGGTAAACGCTTATAGAATCTACACTATATAAAATACGGTGGCAGCGTTTCCCTAACAGTCCGAGACCGTTATAATTATACAGAATTGCCTTAATTAATTTTAACCTATTTTATAACGATTTTGACTACGCTTTATCTGACACAGATTCTTCAGGTGTCTACCCGGATTGTAATCTTGGTAATCCGGCCCGTTACGTAACCGAAAAGACTATGGTCTGTTCGACAGGCTATGGGCATCTGACAGTACATATGTATCTGAACAGCGATACCCCGCCAACGTCAGAGCTCGCTTCGTCTCATCATCCTTTCTACCCCTCTAATCTTTCCTTCCAATGCCCAGAGATCAACACCCCACAGGATAAATCATCTCTCCCACATTGGGACGCCTGTACCCTCACCACATCGAAAGCTCCATCGGTCAGCTCTGCATAGCCGAATTGCATACGTCCGTTTAATCCCTCGGATGTGCCAGGGTAGCCGCCTTTGTTCACGCCCGACCAACACTCGAAGTTGTTCGCCACAAGGCAGCCGACAATGAATGTTCTCAAGCTTCAGAGGTACGCGGGTCACAAGTGCACCTTAAAATCCTCGCCGAACAGTCATGAGCTGATCGGTATCCTCCAAATGTCATAGGAAGTATCCTCAGTTCCCACAGAACGAGATATTCAGCCTCACGGATGCCTTCCACAAACTCGACGTCGAAGACAAGGGCTATATTAACGAAGCTACCGCCATAAAGGCTACACAAGCGAGCGAGCGGCAACCCTATGATGTCGTACGGCAGGCACTGAAAGAGGTCGAACTCGACTCTTCTCGTCGCGTTGAGTTAGAGGATTATGTTGCTGTATGCTTGGTCGTGTTCCAGTGGTAAATGATGCGGGAGACTTAAAGCTTGGCTGACCTTATGAAACAGCTCATTGCGAGGCTTCGTGACTCGTCACCCGTCCAGAAACGATTCTCGTCCAGTGTAGGAGCCGGCGGCCCAAGTGTTGTCGCGCAAGCCACTGGAGGCCGTGCTCGTGCAACATCGAGCGCTGGCAAGATTCATGTTCAGGGCTCAAACGCCAACGTCACTCATACCATTAATGAAGACGAGAGGACCGAATTTACCCGTCACATTAATGCTGTTTTGGCAGGCGATGCCGATATAGGCAACCGTCTTCCATTTCCTACAGATACCTTTGAAATGTTTGACGAGTGCAAGGATGGGCTTGTTCTAGCCAAGCTCATCAACGATAGTGTGCCCGACACCATCGACGAGCGTGTCCTGAACATTCCGGGTAGGAAATACAAGAGCCTTAATGCTTTCCATATGACCGAGAACAACAACATCGTCATCGAGTCCGCCAAAGGTATTGGGTGCTCTGTCGTCAATATTGGTAGTGGCGATATCATCGAGGGGAGGGAGCATTTGATTCTTGGATTGATTTGGCAGATCATTCGCAGGGGTCTGTTAGGGAAAATCGATATAAAGCTTCATCCCGAGTTGTATCGTTTGCTGGAGGATGACGAGACTCTCGAACAATTCCTACGGCTGCCGCCAGAGCAAATTCTCTTAAGATGGTTCAACTACCACTTGGCTGCCGCAAATTGGCCGCGAAGGTATGTCCTCACCTATGGTGGTTCACTCCCGGGTAAAGATGACTGACGCGGTAAAGAGTCACCAACTTCTCGGCCGACATCAAGGATGGCGAGAACTATACCGTTCTTCTGGCTCAGATTGGCTCGGAATACGGGAATACCAGGGCTCCTTTGCAGACACAAGGCCTCCTACAACGGGCCGAGGAGGTGCTCGTCAACGCGGACAAGATGGGATGCCGCAAATTTCTGACGCCCACTTCTTTGGTGGCTGGGAACCCTAAGCTCAATCTAGCATTCGTTGCGAACCTGTTCAACACCCATCCCTGTCTCGACCCCATTACGGAAGAAGAGAAGCTTGAGGTCGAAGATTTCGATGCGGAAGGGGAGCGCGAGGCTCGCGTTTTTACACTCTGGCTAAACAGCCTGGATGTGCAGCCTCCCGTCCAGTCGTTCTTCGATGATCTCCGTGACGGAACCGTTCTTCTACAGGCCTATGATAAAGTGATCAAGGGATCTGTCAACTGGCGTCACGTCAACAAGCCACCCGCCCATGGGGGGGAGATGCTCAGATTCAAGGCCGTCGAGAACACCAATTACGTCATTGAGTTGGGCAAACAGAATGGATTTTCACTAGTAGGCATCCAGGGAGCCGACATCACTGACGGCCAGCGGACATTGACCTTAGGCTTGGTCTGGCAACTTATGCGCAAGGACATCACCGTGACTCTATCATCACTCGCGCAGCGTCTTGGAAAGAGAGAAATCACAGATGCTGAGATGGTGCGTTGGGCTAATGAGACTTCCCGGAAGGGTGGCAAGAATTCAACCATTAGGTCCTTCAAGGACCCAGCAATTGGTTCCGGGGTCTTCCTTCTGGATGTCTTGAACGGCATTAAGAGCAGCTATGTCGACTATGACCTGGTGACGCCGGGAAGAACAGATGGCGAAGCTTACCTCAACGCAAAGTTGAGCATTAGCATTGCGCGAAAGATGGGTGCTACGATCTGGCTTGTTCCAGAGGACATATGCCAGGTCAGGAGCCGGCTCGTGACTACGTTCATTGGTGAGGCTGTTCATTCTCTGTCCATATGCATATGCGAGCGATATGGCTAATTCTATACTAGGGTCTCTCATGGCAACTGCGGAGAGAATAAACTGACAGAGATTTGGTGACAGCCGCCCCAGAAGGAGGAAAAAGGAGGGGGGGGGGTTGTTGCTCCTTAAGTGGCAGTAGTTAACATGTGTTGCACGTTCAAATGCACTCTTTGTGACTCTTATAACTTGGGGGAAATCTTCGCGTGTGTGTATTATTTACAAGTATGCGAGACCGTTTGTCCTGTTATCAGATGCCCTCAGCCACCCTACCGAGGTGTGATAAACCATATTATATTAGACGTGTGGAGTATCAGATACAGGGTAACCGTAAATAATAACGTAGAATAGTAAGATGGCAGTTGATCCGTTGATTCGATTCAGGCTTGTAAATCCGTAGATCTGTGTGTGTGTGTGACTTGAAAATAACGATATAGGCGTTATAGGATTGTTAATGCTTTAGGAAGAATCTCCTCCCCTCTAGCAGAGGGTAGAAAAGCTAGATATAGTAACCCCGTTCTAGGGCAGGTTACGTAACCCGCCTATTAACCTGCCTAACTTAATAGTGGCTTGTCCCGAGCTATAAAGCTATCGCGATAAATAAATGCACTATAATCGTATAAAAATAGTCTCCGATTATCCTATCTCCCTCTTTGGTCCCCGGTATTTATCCTAGAGTACTTCCTAGTCCTAGTAATCGACTTCCGGTATACCGGAAAATAGGTGGTATCGTAAGTAAAGGGTCGGATCTTAACTCTCTTCAATTATATATCGTCGAGTCCATCACACAGGACTCGTGTCTTCGAGGCTATCCATTACACAGGACACCTATAATTATCGTGATCTTCGTAATCTTAAACCGACCCTAGTATACCCGCCGCCTATCTTTTAATTATAGCTTGAGCCGAGCTTGATTTTCGAATTAAACTCGGGAATCCGGAAGATATTAACAGGATATCGGTCTTCTTCGTCTCGACGACGTTATCGGTCGGAAGTATCGAAATTCTTCGAAGTATTAAGGGTAGCTTAGAGTCGTAGGTATCGTTATAACTCGAGGGGAAAGGGTGACTTCTTAAGGAGGACTGCTTAGATATATCGGTGCTCCGTAGTGTCTAGAGAACGTAAGGATTCCGTTAAAATAGAAAAGAAAGTAACGGTCGGTCTAATAATACGAAGAAAAAGAATATAAGGTATTCTCAGCCTAGCTAGATAATATAGCTAGAGCCCGTATACTAACTACTATTATTATTATTATTATTATTATTATTCTTACTCCGCTATCCTATCTAATCTAATCTATAGGAGCCTAATTTAGACTATACGGTCCTTCTCGGGTAGCTATAGAGGGGAAAACCCGGGGTCCCGGGGTAAAAACCTTTATACTCGTCCTTATTTAGAGTGGTGCCGCTACGGGGCCGATATAGCCCCGGTTCGCCCCGTCTATATATCTGGATCGTACCTCTAGGCTAGTAGCTAACGGGAAAGGTAGTAGGCTATAGTTCGGGTTAGCCTAGGCCGGTTATTAGTAAGGGGGCGGGGGCCGAAGGGGCGCCGCGGCGTCTCCGCCGTGTAACGGCCGCGGCACGCTAACTTCGGCCTCCCTACGTCCTTAGGGGCCGTGCCTAGTATTCCTTCTATTTAATTAATAAAGAAAAAGCGAGGCAGGCGTTCCTGCCTCTTTTAAGGGGGGGGGGGGGGGGGGGTGCCTTTTATATCCGGCGGTAGGTAGGAAGGATAGGGCTCCGTCCACGCTCGAAAAACGGTAAATAGATAATAGAAATTAAGATCCCCTTCCTTTTCCTCTTTTTCCTTCCTATAACGCTATAGAGCACGTTATAAGTGCCCCTTATTACGTTCCCGGCTACGGCCTTAAAGGCCTGCCGTCGCGGCGTTATACTAACTAGTAGTATCTTCTAGTTTTTCTATTCTTAATTTATAGGTTCCCCGATTAATCTAGTATATAGTGGTTTATAGGCGGCGTTATAGTAGTATAGCCTTAACTAGGTAGCATAGTAGTAGTAGTAATAATAATTGTAATATTAATCGTAAATAAGTTATAATATAAGTGTCTCTATATCGTAGTGGTGCCGTGGTAGCGATATACTAATAGCTATAGATACCTCCTTCTAGCAATAATAATCGTTATAAGTAAGGTACTATTCGAGTTATACCGTATATATACCCTAGTAGTGCCGAAGAGGTATTATAGCGGCTAACCTATAGTAGTTATCTCCGTTATCGTAAGCGTTTAGGTAGTTACCCCGATAATATTTCCGCTTATAATAATACTACCGGTACTAGCGCCGATTACTTTTAGTATACTAATAGTCGATATCCCTATAATGATATAAGCCGTCCTTATACCGTGGTGGTGCCACTAGTATATCGAGGTAATCTAATTAATTAATAAGTCCCCCCCGCTATAAAAAAGCAGTAAGAACGTCTTATAGACGCTTATAGTCTTTATCTATCGGTAAAGGTTACTAGTAGCGATAGTATCGTTACGGTAAGTAGCCTCCCTTTATTATCGCGGTAGCGCCGTATTAATAACCTATTAGGCTAAGGAGTGTCTAAAGACGGCAGCTTTATCCTTTAGACGGGCTATCTTCCGGTCGCGGCCGTGGCGGCACCTTATTAGTAGAGGCGCTCCTGCGCGATATCCTCCGCCGAACTCGCCGCCTAAAAGGTATAGTGGGTATCCTAATAGATAACTATATACGTAGTCCCTTTTCGGTTTCGCTGTAGCGCCCCCGTGGTAGTAGTATAGCTAACTAGTTTTAGGACCTTAAGTATATTAAGAGTAGTGTTAGTGCCTTTAAGGGAGGTAAGGATAAGGCTAGCGAGGAGTAAGGGGGGGGGGAGGGGGGTTTAGCCCGGTAACGCTTTAATACCGCCGGGGTCCTGGCTAGTAAGGCCCTATTTAATACTTACTAGACCTTTATATTACCTCTTCCCCGCTACGGTACCACCGCGTTCTTATAGGCTTCTATAACTTTAAGGGTAAGGCGGAAGTCTTTAAGCCTTTTCCGTTATAGAAACTACTTAGCTATCGCCCCGGCTTTTATATCGTGGTCTAGTACGTTATATAAATCCCTTTTAGTCGTGAGTAGTCTCCCCACGGCGCCGAAAAGCTCCCTACGCTTTTCCTCGGTTATATTCTAGCACTAGAGCACTACGTGCTCCGCCGTTTCTACCCCTCCGTTACTATAGGGGTACCGTGTTATTAGGAATCCCGGCGCCCTCGCCTTAGCCAGGAAGTTTATAGGCCTAGCTTTTATATTCTAATTTAGGTATGGGCGGCACTTTATAGCTTTAGGAGTCCTTTTTATTTCCGGAGGGAGCGGTATAACGGGGGGCGGCTTAGTACCGCTACGGCATAGGTATAAGGCGTTCGTGCCTTTACCTAGGTTCGACCCTATTCCCTTATAAGGGCTTTCCTCGGGGTCGCGTTTCCGGTCTAGGATATTAGGGCGTTAAGTTGGGCTATCCATGCGAGGGCCGTATAGGTCCTATAATACCGATTCGGTGCTATTAGGGCTCTCGCTACGGCGTATACTCCGGCTAATATCTTATCTTCGGTTCTCTCCTCTTATATCCGGCGGACGTTCCGGGCGCTTAGGCTTAAGAGATATAGGTTAAAGGGGGGGATAAAGGTCTTATTTTTAAGGACCTTAACTAGCGTGGCTTTATAGGCTCTGGCTATTAGTCGGAGGTACCGGTTCTATATCGTTATAAGTGCCGCTACGGGGCTATACCGGGGGCCGGCCCCTATCTTATAGACGGTTAAGGCGTAATAGGCGATTACTAGTCGTATTACTATAAGGTATAATCTCTTTATATCTACGAAGCTATACCCCTACACTACCGCGCTAAGCCTTAAGAGGGCGTATATTTAGGTGGCTAGATAGCTTTTTACCTTTTTAGTATTTTATCGGAAATCGAGCTTCCTATTAAGCTAAACGCCTAGGAGCCCTATCGCCTCCGCTACTAGCACCGTAGTTGTACTAAGGGGGAGCGGGGTAGGTAAGGGTTAGTATAACTTCGTGAAAAAGATATAGATATATTTAGCTAGTTCGAACTATAGTCTGCTCACTATCTCTTAGTCTAGGTATATCTGCTATACGGCGGTAAGGCGTTACCGCGTTTATACCTCTATCCTACTAAAGGCGATAATATTCGTGTTATTAGCGAAACCTACTATTATCGTCTTAGGAACCCTTTCTAGTTCTTCGTATAGGGTGGAGATACAGAGGATAAAAAGGATAGGGGACATCGGGGAGCTTTACGGTATACCCCTATAAAGGTATCGCGGGGGGGCTATTTCGCTATTAAGTAATAGTTAGGCTATATAGTCTTAAAGGAAGCTATTAATTAGGGTAATAAGCTACCGGGGGAAGCCTTTCCTTTTAAGTACTTTAAGGAGGCGAGAGTAAGGGATAGTATTACAGGCGCCTTTAATATCTAGTTAGAGTATTAAAGCGGTGCCGCTATAGGCCTATCTCGCCCTTATAGCCTCCGTGGCTCTTTATACCATCGTTTTTATACTTTACCCTATCCGGTTATTTATTTATCCCTATAGGAGGAGCCGATACTCCTCCGCTATAGTAGCGATCCGGTCGGCTAGTATCCCTTTAAGGACCTTACCTATTATACTAAGGAGTGATATCGGTTATTAGCCCTTTACTATCCCGTAATCGGCTAGCGGCCGGCCTTCCTTTTTAAGGATTATTATAGTAGCGTAGCGGCACCTTTTCGGGTAATAGCTTACTTCGAGGCACGCTATAAAGATAGCACTAATTCTTTAGTATATAGGGGGTCTATATACTTTTAGGAGCCCTACTAAGAGTCCGTCTAGTCCTAGTACCGTTTAGGGTTTAGTCTTCTTAAGGCGCCCCTATATATCCGTTACGGTAACGTCTTGGCGGATATCCTACCCCGGGGGGAATTCCGCGTTTAGGGGCTTAGGAGCGGTAAGGAAGGGGGGGGGGGAAACTTCCGGTTAAGGACGTCGGCTTTTTCTGCGTGTATAGTTACCGGGTTATTATTATTATCTCGGTATAGTAGTAGCACCGATAAGGGGTCCGGCTGTACTCCCCCTTTAGTTTATACCTATTTCTATAACCGCTAAAGAAGGCTATTATCCTTCCCGGTTAAGTAAAGTAGGTGCTATTAGTATAGCCGTTTTGTTACCGCCACGGCCTTATCTCGGCACCTCTTTATTTCCTAGAACTTATCCTATTAGTTCCGGGACTTCCTAGATATATATCTACGGTAGAGGCGCCTTATGTCCTAGGTAAAGGCGGTTAGATCCGCGTTCTACTAAGGGGTAGATAGGCGTCTAGGGATACCCCTATAGCGGCG